AATGACCTCAAAGAGAGAATAAACCTTTTCGGACAAGAATTTGACACAAAATTTGATTTCAAAGGAAAAGGATTTAATGAAAAACAGATTACGTTCGCGCAGTCAGTATTGAGTGAAATGTTGGGAAATATTGGATATTTCAATGGAAACCAATCGGTCACCTCTCCGGGTATGGCATCACCCAAATGGTACGGACCGTTAGAAATGTTATCAGCCGTTCCCTCGCGACCAGTGTTTCCGCGGCCTTTCCTTTGGGACGACGGCTTTCATAATCTGTTGATTCAGCGGTGGAACAGTTCGCTGACACTGAAGATAATGAATTCGTGGCTTAATATCATGAATATTGACGGTTGGATTCCCCGGGAGATTGTCATCGGGAGTGAGTCCATTGCAAAACACGGCACAATCCATACACAACCAGATACCGACGCTAACCCGCCGTCCTTTCTATTAACCATCGATACACTTATGAGAAACAAACAAATGGACGTCCAGTCCCTAAAGGATATATACCCGAGACTTAAGGCATGGTTTCACTGGTATAACACTACACAAAGTGGTGAACTGAGCAGTACTTTTAGATGGAGGGGTAGGGGTGATAATAAAGATAACCGAGAATTAAACCCTGATACTCTAACCTCTGGACTCGATGACTACCCCCGGGCCACACATCCCACTGATAAAGAATACCATTTAGACCTTCGTTGTTGGATATGGTTGGCCGCGGATATCATGTCACGTATAGCCAATGTTGTGGGAGACCCTCACATGAAAGCCCAATACGAAGGAACGGCACACTTGTTGGCCGACAATAGCCTATTAGAGAGACTTCATTGGTCTGAATCAGACAAAGCGTATTGTGATTACGGATATCACTCCACAAACGTGTCATTAGTTGAGGACGGGTCCGGACATTACGTACGAAAGGTGTGGACTCCACCCACGTATCAATTGACTTGTGATCAGTTGGGTTATGTCAACCTCTTTCCCTTCATGTTTGGTATAATAGACGCTAATAATACAAAATTGGGTTATATTTTGGACTCAATTCATAACTCATCGCAAATGTGGACAAACTATGGTTTGAGATCATTGTCTAAAACCAGTTTCTATTATAATAAGTATAACAGTGAACATGAAGAGCCATACTGGAGGGGTAACATATGGATCAACATTAATTATCTAGTGCTCCGAGGTCTTAGACATTATGCTGATATCCCGGGTCCTAATCAGTCAAAAGCGGCGCTTATTTACAAAGAGTTACGAAATAATATAATTGAGAATATGTTCACAGAATATGAGAGGACGGGCTTTGTTTGGGAACAGTATAACGATACGACTGGTAAGGGTCAGGACTCCCACCCCTTCTCGGGATGGTCAGGGGTTGTGGTACTCATTATGTCTGAATATTATTAATAAGAACCTCGTCAAATTTAAACCAATGTACTAAACATTAATTTAAATAAACCTAAATGCAAACTATGATATACGGTAGAAGGATTATTTCAAAAACTATTTTTTAACCAGGTGTTTTTCTAAGACGTCTAACCCATGAGTCTTAATATTATTAAGTTTTATCAATCACTACAAGGAAATGAATGGAAAATTTTTATCACAAAATAAATCCAAATTAAGTGTTATGAAATGATTATTTAGTTGAACATATTTATTATCTCACATACAATATATTGTTTATTTAAGTATTTAAGTGAGTTCATTTTTCACGACATTTATTTAATTATTTTTACAAATTACTGTAACATTTATTTGCTTAGAAATGAATTATTTTATTATAATTCTTGGTACCCTTGTCTTTATAAGTGTTAATATTTCACTAATAACAGGCAATTCAACGGATGTGAACATACCGTTTGACCACCACTTCCACACCGAACCCATACTGCCATTCAATACTTGGGGTTCATTTCGTGCCTTTCAGTACTTCGGTCTCAAGACTTCATCACCAGATTCACCACTTATTGGTTTAGTTTGGTTTAACAATAGCGCCAATAATGTGTCTGCCCTTCACGTGAGACACTGGTGTGACCTGAATGATGGTCTGATCTATGGCTGGAAATATCATAACTTCGATGACTTTGGATTTCAGACTATTAAAGATAATGACTATAATTTTAATACTAGCTTTATTAAATATGCAGCTGATAATTGGAAAGCACTGGTATCTGTAAAC